GAAATATTCAGATGAGAAACTCGATAGAATTCAACTTCTTTCGTATCATCAATATTATCATGATTTTCATCATTATCATCATTATTTTTATTATTTTTTTATCTTGTTTTATTTATTAGTTGATCTAAAGTGATTCGGATCCTTGTTTATAATTAAAATACTAAGAAAGTATGTAATAAACTATGTAATATATGTAAAATATGTAAAATATGTAATAAAGTATGAATATATTAGCATATTTGTATTTGCTAGTTATTTCAAATATGAAATATTTTCCCGCGACAACCACGCCTAGCTTGACTAACGTAGTCACCTACTAACGTAGTCGATGCCGAATCGAACGTTACACATGGCGGTATAATTTCGCGCGTTAAAGTAAAACTTTCAATGTGTATACAAAACGTTCCGTGAAGTAGTGTTATCGTTGGTTGATGTTTTAATTACTGCAGCTAGCGAAATATGCATTCAAAAACAATACTGCGCAGTATCAGTTATTACTTCGGAATATTGAAAGTGGAGGTTACATTTACAATATTGTCGCGATATTAACGAACGGGCCACATCACAAGATTAAGAAATAAAGAAAACTTTATAAAGATTAAGATATCTAACTACTAATAATTGTTCGATGGTAATATATCACAAGTGGAACAAAGTGATATTATATAGTGCAAATATAGTGCGTCGTTTCATAATATCGATTATATTGTACATTATAGATTTCGACTGTCAATTACGATATTTAGTGAACACAGCTTCGAAAAGACAGATTTTTAGTAGTTTTCCAAACTTTTATTCGATTATAAAGTGACACGTGTGAAATAAAGTACTGCGAATACAAATCGAATAAAAATAATACGCAATAACCTAATATCGATCGTGCATTCTTGATTTCGATTGTGGATTACGATATTTAGTTAACACAGCTTCGAAAAGACAGATTTTTAGTAGTTTTCCTAACTTTTATTCGATTATAAAGTGACACGTGTGAAATAAAGTGCTGCGAATGCAAATCGAATAAAAATACTACGCAATAACCTAATATCGATCGTGCATTGTAGATTTCGATTGTGGATTAGGATATTTAGTTGAAATAGCTTGGAAAAGCCAGATTTTTAATAGTTCTCTTAAATTTTCTTCGATTTTTACGTTCCATGTGCAAAATAAAACAACGGACTTGTATTTGGTATAAAGATACTGCGTAATTACGTAATATCGATTGTAGATTCTAAATTTCGACTGTCTATTGCAATATTTAGTTAGCATATCATTGGAAAGGCAGTTTTTAAATAATTTTATCAAATTTTCTTCGATTTTGACGTGCACAAGCGAAATAAAACGACGGGAGTGAAAATCGTATAAAAATACTGCGTAATTACGTGATATCGATCGTGCATTCTTGATTTCGATTTTGAATTAGGATATTTAGTTGAAAAAGCTTAGAAAAGATAGATTTTTAATAGTTCTCCTAAATTTTCTTAGATTTTTACGTTCCATGTGCGAAATAAAACTACGAGAATGTATTTGGTATAAAGATACTGCGTAATTACGTAATATCGATCGTGCATTCTTGATTTCGATTTTGAATTAGGATATTTAGTTGACGCAGCTTTGAAAAGCCAGATTTTAGTAGCTTTCCTAATTTTTATTCGATTTTAAAGTGACGGGAGTGTAAATCTTATAGTGATACGCGTAACTAACAGCCAGTGCCGTAGCAACTTTTTGTTCACATATCTTTCGGAGTTGCAGTAAGTGGCAGCTAATTCTTTTTGCAAAATGAAGAGGAGACTTCAACCGTCAAGATCTCATAAGGATGAACGCTGAATGCTGCCGAATGGACAACGAAAAGGTATAGTGAACATTAAAATCATTCTAATCGATATAACTAGAAAAATATTGCACAAAGAAATTTGAAACTTTGCTCAATTAAGAACGTACTAGATAGATTTCATTATATCATTCACCGTTCAATTATAATGGACGTAGCATTTCTAAGAAAGTATCATAGTTTCACGTAATTTGATATTCGACTTCTTCAAAATAGTATTGTGATGTCAAAAATAAACGAATATTTCAAAAAATGGTACTATATCATACTCCATAATCCTAGAGGTACCAACAGGGTACTGTTGCTGTTGGATTAATCTGTTCAATGATGACTTAAATTCTATAGCAATTCTAGAATGACAAAAGACAGATTCATAATCGCTCGAGATATTAACAATTGACAATTCAGTACCGAGTACTGCCATCATAACAGTACTGCAGCCGTTGGATTAATTTGTTCTCTGATGATTTAAATTCCACAGCGATTCTAGAACGATCAATGTATAGATAAGTTATGGCTAGAGATATTTACAGCTGACAGTACGGTACTTAGTACATCCACGGAGAGAGCACCGTAGCCGTTGGATTAATCTGTTCACTGATGATTTAAACCCTATAGCAATTCTAGAACGATCAATGGATAGATCAAATAACGGTAGTGATATTCAAAAAATATTTTTCAAAATCAAACTTTTCTAAAATGACTTCACTGCTTTTTGGCACATCGACCCCACAGTGCAACATACACGAATATCAGAGTAATCTCGGTGCCGAATTGCTACGTTAATAGTTCGATCCTGCTCATTGCCTACGAAAGATACTTGCCGTGTCAGCGGAATTTCAGCGATTTGTCAATCTCAACGGTGTCTGTGAGCTCGAAATGCCCACCCGATGTAGCCAGCTCGGCCGAACGATCAGCACAGCCGCCTCGTACTTGCATCGCGATTCTGTACAGTATGATTTGCGGCTGCAATCCGGCGACATGCCGACACGCGGCGATTAGCGCGCGAATGCCATGGTAAATCGTTAAACCGGAATATCACGCGGAAGGTTTTCAACGGAGGTGGTTCGGGTCCCTTCGGTGCAGCCGATACCGTAAGGATCGTATTAATTCGGACGATTCGCGATGGCACCGTGTACCTCGGCGAATTGGTAGTTGCACGGTAGTTCTTTCACATTCTCCAGGACTGCTCGGTATCGAAGAATCAACGCTAAATACGACCCCCTGGTCCCCTGGCTGACGTATATACCTTAGCCCGAACCCGCGTAATCAGGACGCTGCAATTGAGTTGGAATTCAATCGGCCGGTAGGGGTCGCGTTTTATTTCGAGATCGTCGCGTCAAGGCTGAATTAACCGTGTCAGCAATTTATATTTCGCTCTTCGACCCATCGTCGGTCCACCATTAGCGATCGCGAAAACGGCGGCCCGCTGAAAGAGCGATTTATGGTGGCTCGATTAAAAGCGTCAGATAGCGTCACTCACTAGTCGAACCTTTCGCTTTTTTTCCGGGTATTAGCGGATCTATTTAATCGATCAGGTCTGCTGAAGGGTGCCACCCAGTCGGCTGAATTTCTTATCGCCATGCATCATTTTTATCGCACCGGCGAGTGGATGTAGCGAATGAAGCGATAACTAGGATCGATAGAGTCGAATGGATGGACGTGTATTTTTTTCTTCTTTCCCTCCTTTCTTTCCCTCTCTTTTTTCTTTTTTTTCTTTTTCTTCAGGAGAAAAGGCGCACGAAACTCGGCAGGCATTCTTCTTTCCACGCGAGAACGAGGCGAGCGTAGATTTAATTTAATAACTATTGTTAATTCTTCCTCTCTCCGGCGTCAGGGTAATAAACAGTACTCGAAAGCGGCTGGGCGAAAATGTTACGAAACGTTGGAAGATTCTTCTTTACGATGCGCTTCGTTGCAGCGAGCCCGGATTAACGATAAAAGGGATGCGCCGAAACGACATTCGGCTTTTCCTCCTCGCGCGTGCTGCGTAACGTAGCGTCGCGTTTCGGATTATTATGCTTTCTTCATCGGCAGGGTACGATTACGACGTTTTTCCCGCGTCGAATACACGCGAAACGTGGAACGATGCGTGATTTACGACACCGTTCTTAGGGTAAGATCGTACCCGACACGGCCAATAAATTTCCTCCGCGTTTTCGCGCATTCACCGTCTCTATAAATTGCCCCTGTTTCGCCGATTTTTACCTTGGCTGTTCGCTATCTATTTCCGTCGTTAATACGATTTTTCCGCCCTCCAGCGGCCCCTCCACCTTTTTTCCCCCGCGCTCCTCACCGTTCCTTCTTTTCTCTCTCGCCCGTTGTTGTTCCCGCTGTTTTATTTCCTGCCACGCCACGCCCTGATGCCCCATACTCCCACGAAGTATTTTTAATGGCGTTTCCACCTGCGGGACTGGAGACGGAGACTGGTTCTTGAGTACCTCCGATGTACCGCAAACAACTCACAACGGAAGCCATGTCGGAAATGGCGGAACACCGCGAGAGATCGACGAGCCGACTTGTTTCGGGAATAATCGCCATCGTAAATTTTACGTTCGTTTGATCGAGCGGAAGCACGAAGGGGTGGCGCGCGGATAAAGACGGAGGAGCGAGGAGGAACGGAGAAAAGGGGTGGAAAAAACAGGAATAGGAGATGGAAAGATCGACGAGGTGAATTTCACGTGTCTAGAAGTCGCCCCCGTTTTCGGTTCTTTGACGAGATCCATATATCCCACGCGTTCGATCTCCTCCGCGATAAAACTTGCGCCGAAGCTTGCCTGTTAAACATTTCTATCGGCACGCGATTAGAATAGCTGGCAGCCGAGAGCTTCTCCTTATTGCTACGAGGGAACAAGAAAATGAAGTTGGCGGATAGTTGGTAGCGTATGAAATTTATTTTCTCGAAAGAAGCATTCGATATCGCGATCGACGAGGGGGCAAAGGGGGTGGCTGGGCGGGGAGGCCAGCGTTGTCGCAGAATTGGAAAGCGCGACACGCTCCAACCTCAAACTCCGCGGTTCACACACAGAAACAGTTCGTAACAAGCAAAAATTTCCGAATCTTCCACGCTCTTGACGCTTTATCGGCGATAAATCAAACTTTCGGAGAAGTTCAACGAGAAGAGGGAAGCGCGAAACGGATAGCACGAATAATATATTACGTCGTTGCCGCGATGTCCTCTTTGATTGTAATGCACGATTCGAGGATGGTGCTGTTGGAGGTAGCCGTGCAAAATGTGAGCACCCTTTCATTCCGTGTATCAATCACTGCGCCTATCACCGCTATGTTTACCTTTCTCTTTACCATTTCTACCTTTTTTCGCGCTATAATTTACTACGTTTTACCGCGTGTTACCAATGACGATTAGCAGTTTCAACGGGCAGCGTGTTCGAGAGGTAGAAAATAGCCGTGCACGACGAGAGTAATTTTTCATTAGCTGTATCAATCGCTGCGTCTATCACCGCGACGTTTACCTTCCTCTTTAAGCTTTTAACTCTTTTTACCCGGTTTAATTTACTTCGTTTTACACGCGCCGTGAATGGCGATTCGGAGTACGACTCTAACGGCACGCGTGCTCGAAACGTAAAGAAGATGGCGTTTCAACGGGATTCCTCAAACGCGTGCAAACACGCTAACTCGAATTTCGCGAGTACGTAAAGTTGGTCGACGTCGTAACTCAGGTGAAATTTTTAAACCCGACGAACACCGGGCTGGTCGCGTGACGGTACGTTGGCCACCAGTCACGTAAGAACGTCGGGATACATCGTGTCGTATTAAAAAGCATCATCCCGCAGTTTCCTTCTTTCCCACTGAAATCTGTATTTTTAGAACGCGAATGACCGGCAAGTGCACTTTGCGCCTCTTTACAGATGCACCGCTGGTGAAAAACCGCGGCACCGTTTCCAAAATAAATAATCAAACGAGCCGGTATTTGCCATAAAACAACGTGTCTCCGTCGATAGAAATATCACTCGACGAGCTATTCACGTAACCTATATATTTTTTGACACGAGTCGCGTGAAATTCGATGCACGCGTACAATCGCTCATGCCTCGCGTACATCTATCCACGATATCTGTGCGTTTGAACAGCTGTACATGCCATGGACCGACGTGTTCGACGCCGCGCTCATGAAGAAGACCGTCATAATGTTTCGAATGCTGGACGACGAATGGACCACGTTGTTTCCGAATCGACGAGACTATCGTGTTTATCGGGGTTCTAATTACGAGACGGAGTATTTCTACGGTGGCCGATCCGTGCTGTTCTCTATACCGGAAACCACGCTGGAGGAGACAATGTCCGGGGTAGACCTGCAGCTGTACGTTTACAAGGGTATATCCAAGTACTTCGAACTCCAGCCCCGGCGGAATTTCGGATTCACCCTCGTCAGGGTGGACGATCTGTTTAACGGTATTATCAAGGACCTCTGCGAACGGAAGGAGCTGGAGGGTTATTTTTCTAGCGCGCTGGAGCGGGAACCTATATCAAGGTGAATGCATTTAAATACGCGGAGCTGGCGTTTATGCAAATTCGCCGGCGAAACGGATTACTGGGCGGCAAACGTAACGTCGGCCGGGCTAATGTAATTTAAAAAACCGCTGTTCCAAGTACCACAGAGTTGGTTCGAACGTTCCCCGTTCGTTTGTATCGTAAACCGTCCGATTGTCTGACCCGTATCGGTCGAAATCTCTCTCCCTGGGGGAAAAAACGATAAAAGAAAGGGAAGAAGATAATCTGCCGTCTTTGTTTAACCCTAGTTAATCCCTTTACCCTGCACGGATTAGCCAGGAACATTTTACTAGCTAAGAGAAATGTATAACCGGCATAAATGTTAAACAGGTTTTAGTGAAATTTTCAACGGTAGGATTTCTTCTCGAGTATAATACACGAATTACCGGGACACGAATTAAGAGATAATGTTTCATCGTTCTCAAAGAATGTGGGAACCCTTGTTGATACGGCTCAGGCGCTCGACGGGTGCTCGTAAATCCACTTTCCCGCGCGGTTGAATTAAGAAGGAGTAGAAAAAATGAAGGAAAGTAGGAATAAAAAAGGGGAAAAAATTCACGTTATTCGCGCAGGTCGACACGCGGCACGTTCCCTCTGCTCGACGAGGATATGCAGAAAACTGACGCCACCATCGAGCTCTACGTACGCATCAGTTACCTGGGCAAATGCATCATAACCGAGGTCTACACCCCTCTAAGCATACAAACCGCGTTTTACGCCCGCGAGGAAACCGACGACCACTACCAATACCAGTTCCGTCAGTTGAACAACATGGACCTGGAATCCTTCTGTTGGGGCAGCAGAACGATTATCCCTCCGCTTCATCCGGACCTACTGATCTGTCGCTGCAAGGAACTCGAGACCCCCGTGGAAGAGGCCACGCAGACGAAGAAGAAGAAGAAACGCAAGCGCGACGATCTCGATTTCCGGAACAAATTGGCCCGAGTACAGGAGCTACTGGCCCTGATGAAGGAGCTGAGAAAGAATCGCCCGGACACGATAGCCCAAGGAGCGAAGGCAAAGAGCGTTTGCCCACCGTCACCGCGCGTCTGCCCTGCGGTGTGTCCACCTGTCTGCGTTTACACTATGCCTTCCGTTTGTCCCAATCCCTGTCAGACGGCCGTTTGCTGTCTACCGTCTGCCTGCATGAACGCCACGTGAGCGGGAGGAAATTTGCATAGGAAAGCGGGATCGCGAAGTCGTGCCGTAGGATCCAGAGGCGTTACGCCGCGAGACGGGGTCGAAGTTTCGCCATTGTCCCGGCCAGATCTTCCCGAGGTAATCACAGGGACCGTGTCCCATCCTGTTTTATGATCCATTCATCCCTCGCGATTGGACGATTTCCCAAATTGCCGGGCGAAATTTTATGGCCGCGACGGGGTCGGCAGGTTTGTACGAGTGCAGTGGAATAGTCGGCGACTGGTAGGGTCGAGGGTGCGTCCTGGCTCTGGAATTACTTATTCCGTTCACAGGGACGCGAAGAGGGCGGACAGACGCCGGGACGTAAAAAGAATTTTCTTCGCGGCGTACGTTCTCCCTTTGTGTATCATCGATGTGCATAGAACGTAGGATAATCTGGTGCCGGGACCGGGTGGTTGTAAATTGCAAAGCGAACCAGCCGTCTTCGGAGGAATTTCATGCGCCGGAACGCGCAGTTTTTCACCGTGTCCGGGGTAACTCGATATCCACTTCGCGCCACGGATATTCCGATATTCCATGCAATTGAAAGCCGAAGAGTTTTGCATTTTGATTACAGCATCCTGCCACGTACACGCAAACACACGTATACACAGACAGCTCCTGCGAGCTGCTGGAAGAGATCGCTGCGTGCACGTATGTATACGTGTACGTAGGTATATACGTTCTCATGCCGGGATTTCGATTTGGAGGCAGGGGAGTATTTTATCATCGGTGGCATTATGCAAAGATTCGGATCTGGAGAGGGCGAAAATCTTCGATCGAGAGGCACGAGGAAACCGGGAAGGGGTTTTTCGTGAAAATGGAGTGAACGCTTCCTTTCATCGGTTCGTAAATTTTTGTCGGGAAACCGCCACTCTCGGAAAATTTCCGAGGGCACTGAATACGCAGGAAATTCTTCTCCGACGTTTAGGGTCGCTCGATATATATTATCGTACTGTCGAAATTTCGCCGTGACCGAATGTTAAATTGAAAAACGTGATTGCTGTCTAAGAAATAAACGAGCGTACGTGCAAACTTCGTTCACCGAGTATTTATTAGTTGCCAAGTGACTTAATGGCAGTGAAAGCCTCGATATGTTAATAACGATACGCCTTTTGGTAATTCGCGATCCGAAGAAGTTAATGATCATGCGCAAAAAAGAAATAAGAGGGACGAAAAGATTTCTGAATTATATTCGCGATGGAATTAATTACACGCTACGGACGTGATTTGCGAGAATTATATACGGCTACTTTCAGATTCTCTTTTCTTCTACGTGCCGCCATCGTGTCTCAAAGATTCCTCAAGTTCGCTAAAGATCTGCTACATTTTACGCGAAGAGATAGCTGATAAAGTGCAATATTTATCGCTTAAATTACAGGTAAGTGCAGGGTGCACGAGAGTTTTTAATCTTGCAACAAATTCTTTCAGCGAGTTTTATCGTTTAATCGTCGCGGAACTAATCACTCTCGGTTTATCAATTTTTCCTATGGTATGTTGTGTACCTGGCGTTATTGCGATAAAATAGGTATTCACAGAAAATGATTAAAAAAATTATTTTATTATTATTATTTACCCATAGTTCTTGCCTTTTAAGTTCTGACAATTTCCGGTGTTACCTTTCAAATTGAGTGAACTGTGATAAATATTCTAATTGAAACGAGAGGAAATGAACGAAGATCATATCCTTGCTTAAACTACCGATTTTTAAATCGGATAACTTAGATAATATTGCTAATTTCCTTATCTATTGCTTTACTTTACAGTCTTATCTTTAATTAAGATATGTACATTAATACATATTAATTTATTTCTATATCGGTAATTCTGGAACACTCTGTAACGTGCAAGTCTTTAATGAAACTATCTAATCTTACAAAATCACGAATTTACGAGCACGTGCGTGTTCAACGACGATTATTTTCTCTAAAATTATGTGCACTATGCGTATGTAGCGACTCGCGATCAAAGTGATCTAGAAGTATGATTGAGCGCGGTAAAAAGCGAATTGACAAGAGAAAGTGCCCATGTGTTTTTACATTCACAGACAGGATTTTTACGTTCAATACGAACGTAATGAATCTTCCGCGTAAAAGCCGCCATTCTCTGTGCATGCTCTTAAGTGGTTCTTGCACCGCGTTAATCAATCTCCACGTGTAACGAGTCGTGCGATTTAAAGCATCCGACAGCAGTCTTGCCTGGAAAGTATAATAATACGATTTCTAATTCAAGGTTAAGCTTAATCGCTGAATCTTCTTGCAGGTGAAACCTTTGAGTACCGGAGAGACACCGAAGTCCTTAAACGCGTCGTTAAAACGCAAACCAATTATATTTACCGCGAAACGATTATGCCCTTTAAATATTGCATTCGTCGCGAAAATTACGAATTATACAACGAGTCGGAAGACCACTTGTTTGGTTACCTCGGAAGAAACACGGTTTAAGAAACCCAACGGATATCCGTGTTCCGAGGGAGGGATAAAGTTAGCGTTGAATCGGTAGATTTCGGAAAGTTTTGAAAACATAAACGTAACGCAATCGAGATACGCTTTTACACTGGGAATTCATGGCGGTATTGGTGCTATATTGGAACAAAGATTCGAAAGGAAAAGGAACATCTTGCAGCATAAGCATTGCACATTCGGTGTTCACCACGCTCGACGTGCTCTTGAATTTTCTCCAACAGTGGATTCTACCACGGATTTTCGAACTTGCCCGATTTTCCTGTACATTCGCCAGCAATTTATCGCGAGGCAAAAGCAGATGCAAGCTGGGCTCGATCGGGAAAACTCGAAAGTCCAATTGTACGTAGTTCTGGAGAGAATTCGGCGCTAACATATTAGGTCGATTATCGCGAAATGTTCCCGTTACCAAAACAAGCCCCCGAGAAGGTATTTGCTCGAAAGAGTGGCTGCCGGACCTATCCGTTTCACCAAATTCGGATGTAACTGTATCCCTTTAAAAATCGGCCGATATTCTTCGAATTTCGCGAATTCGGCTATGAAATTCTGCGCATCGAAACGCCGGCGGGTATATCGGGATTAAAAGCGGTTACCTCGTGAAATTTCGAGAACACGGGCCCGCAGAGTTGCTATCGGATAAATCTCCGGGGGTGCAAGAAAATGCAGCTGCAGGATTAATACGCTTCCTGCCGGGCGTATCTCTCGAATTTGACTGCGACAATCTCGACGAAATCTCGCTCGATCATAGTCGGAAATGCAGACAGGTTCTCGTTGCCGTGGCCACGCGGACGTTTAGATAAATAGCGGGGAATGCGAAAATAAGGGAGCATACGAGGGCAATAGTTGGGCGAGGATAAGCGGGATGCGAAATGGGTTCGCCATAACGGGAAAAATACGAAACGCCGGTACGTGTGTTTCGCGTAGACGGTCGTCTAGACTCGCGGGTATAGGTAGGGTATATACGGCGATACATAACCCCCTAGCGCGGCAGGATGTGGAAAACTCGAGGGAACGAGATTACAGGAGATCGCGGAGGAAGAGAGAGTAGGAGTTGAAATGGCTAGAGTGACTCGTTTTCCTCCCTGTTTTCCAGACCTGGCCCACCACCGTGCCTAGAAACTATGGATTATCGGTATAGTAGGCGATCCCCACCCCTGCGGCGAGCTCGCCAGACGCATTGATAGTTGGACGGGCGACTAACAATGGACGAACACCAGGAGATTAGGGGGCTCTTTATAAACGGCTGGCTACCAAGGGAATCGCCGTGAAACGTTATCGACAAGTTCGATGACACGCGTCGCGCCGTTAGTGCCTGGTGCTGTGGTGTTTAACTGGCTTTCTAAGTGGCTGGTAGTCGGCCGACACGGTGGGTGAGTAGCGAACGTGTACGGAGTATCTTGACGGTCCTCGATGTTACCCCGGTGTTCGCGGTGACATCGGCGCAGACAAGATGTATCGATTACTGATACTTAAGCACACCGGTGTGCGCGATGAGTTGGACGGCTATCGGTCGTTTAGCCGACTAGACGGGGTTACCAGAGACTTGGTCGTTCCGCTTCGCGAAAATGTTTTCCCGGGTTAGGCAAATCGGCCGAATATCCTCAGCCACTCGGTTCTCGCGCGAGCGCCAGTAATTAGCCGTTGCGATTGACACGCAATTAGAGTGGCAGGCAAAACGAGAAACAGAGAGAGAGAAAAAAGAAGGGATGGAGAAGCATCGAGAATACTCGTTTCGAGGGTTTCTCGCGGAGCGTGAACTAATTACAAAAAATCCCGCACACACGTACGCGCGCACGATGGGTGCACGTAAATACGGGACTTTACGCCGGTAGTTGGGTTAGGGTCGCGACCTGAGGTTAGCGGGGGATTAATAAATTCGCGCGTAATCCGTTAGAAAGGGAATTTTTAATCGCGCGACATCGTCGTGGTGATCGTTTTAAACTAACCCTGACGGCAAGGCGTGCCGTGTTCCGCGCGTCGAAAACGCGGTAACGTCTTTGGCAATTATCGATAATCGATAGCTGATGCTCCATTACGACGTATCTAACGAATTACACGTGTGTATAGCTCGATAATTCGAGACAGCTAATACAGTGGCTCCGGCCGAGTATTTGATAAGCCAGTGTACAGCTATTAACATTTGATAAATGATCCGGTATTAAAGGATTAGCCGGCCGCTAGTTCAATCGTTGATGACCGCTAATGAATAAACATGGAGTAGCCGGCGAAATTAGACCACTCTGCGTGTTCGCGGGGCAAGGATGTATTAAATCATTGGATACCGAGTTAACGACGTATGCGCGATGTTACGAACGAAAGGGTGAAATTCTACGGAACAATTTCGCGAGCGAAGAGCAACGGCCGCGAACTCGGGCCAACGAAGTAGATACGCAGCGACACCTGGGAATAGAAGACGATTCATTGCATTCAAAAGTATGATAACTGGAGTAATTGAAAACGACGGTATCAGCGACGATCCTGTTTTATACGCACTAGTTGCCAGGTATTCCGCATAGTTAG